AGAAAGAAAGAAAGAAAGAAAGAAAGAAAGAAAGAAAGAAAGAAAGAAAGAAAGAAAGAAAGAAAGAAAGAAAGAAGCAAGCTCCAGTGAGAGCTGGAGATCAGGATCTGATGAAGCCAACAGGACCACATCATCCACAAAAAGCAGAGATGTGATCCTAAGGTCACCAAAAAGGATCCCCTCAACACCTTGGCTGCTCCCAGAAATTCTGTCCATAAAAGTTATGAATAGAATCGATGACAAAGGACAACCTTGGTGGAGTCCAACTCTCACCGGAAACGAGTCAGATGTACTACCAGCAATGTGAACCAAGCTCTGGCACCGGTCCTACAGGGACCTAACAGCCCGTATCAATGGGCCTGGTACCCCATACTCCTGGAGTACCCCCCACAGGAGTCCCAGAGGAACACTGTTGAACGCCTTCTCCAAGTCCACAAAACACACAAACTGGTTGGATGAACTCCCATGCACCCTCCAGGACCCTGCTGAAGGTGTAGAGCAGGTCCTCTGTTCCACGACCAGGACCAAAACCACACTGCTCTTCCTTAATCCAAGATTCGACTATCCAATGGACCCTCCTCTCCAGGACCCCTGAATAGACCTGACCAGGGAGACTCAGAAGTGTGATCTCCCTGTAGTTGGAACATACTCTGTGGTCCCCCTTTTTAAATAGGGGGACCACCACCCTGGTCTGCCAATCCAGGGGAACTGCCCCCAATGTCCACACAATATTGTAGAGTCGCGTCAACCAACGCAACCCCACAACATCCAGAGCCTTAAGGAACTCCGGGCAAATCTCATCCACCCCCGTCGCCCTGCCACCAAGGAGCTTTTTGACCACCTCAGTGACCTCAGCACCAGAGATTGAAGAGTCCGACCCAGGGTCCTCAGGCTCTGCTTCCTCATGGGAAGACGTGTCGGTAGGATTGAGGAGGTCTTCGAAGTATTCTGCCCACTGACCCACAACGTCCTGAGTTGAGGTCAGCAGTGCACCATCCCCACCATAAATAGTGTTGGTAGCGAACCGCTTTCACCCCCGAGATGCCGGATGGTGGACCAGAATCGCCTCAAAGCTGTACGGAAGTCTTTTTCTATGGCCTCTCCGAACTCCTTCCATGCCCGAGTTTTTGCCTCAGCGACCACCTGAGCCGCAATCCGCTTGGACTGCCGATACCTATCAGCTGCATCCGGAGTCCCACAGACACAAAAGACCCCTAAAGGACTCCTTCTTCAGCCTGACAGCATCCCTCACCGCTGATGTCCACCAACGGGTTCAAGGGTTGCCACCACAACAGGCACCAACAACCTTACGGCCACAGCTCAGGTAAGCTGCCTCAACAATGGAGGTACGGAACATGGCCCACTCTGACTCAATGTCCCCCACCTCCCAAAACATGCAGCCACAGATCAGATGAAACAACAACAAAGTTGATCAGTGAACTGTGGCCTAGGGTGTCCTGGTGCCAAGAGCACATATGGACACCCTCATGCTTGAACATTGTGTTTGTTATGGACAATCCATGATGAGCACAGAAGTCCAACAACAGAACACCACTCGAGTTCAGATCGGGGGGGCCGTTCCTCCCAACCACGCCCCTCCAGGTCTCACTGTCATTGCCCACGTGAGCGTTGAAGTCCCCCAGCAGAACAAGGGAGTCACCACTCGGAGCGCTCTCCAGCACCCCCTCCAAGGACTCCAAAAAGGGTGGGTAATCTGAACTGTTGTGAGGCTCATAGGCACAAGCAACAGTCAGGACTCGTCCCCCCACACGTAGGCTGAGGGAGGCTACCTTCTCAGCACGAGCAACTCCAGAGTGGAAGAGTGTCCAACCCCTCTGGAGGAGACTGGTTCTAGAGTCAGAGCGGTTTGTCGAGGTGAGTCCAACTATATCTAGTCTGAACCTCTCAACCTCACACACCAGCTCAGGCTCCTTCCCCACCAGAGAGCTGACATTCCATGTCCCTAGAGCCAGCTTCTGTAGCTGAGGATCAGACCGCCAAGGTCCTCACCTTCAACCACTGCCCAACACATATTGTACCCAACCCCTACAGCCCCTCCCACAGGTGGTGAGCCCATGGAAAGGAGGACCCATGTCTCCTCTTCGGGTTGTGCCCGGCTGGGCTCCATGGGTGAAAGCCCGGCCACCAGGCACTTGCCAACATGCCCCGCCTCCAGGCCTGGCTCCAGAGTGGGGCCCTGGTGACCTGAGTCGGGGTGAGGGAACGCTAGATCAATTTAAGGCACTCATCATAGGGGTCTTTGGGCTGCACTTTGTCTGATCCCTCACCTAGGACCTGTTTACCTTGGGTGACCCTACTGGGGGCACGAAGCCCACGACACCATAGCTCCGATCATTGGGACACTCAACCCTCTCCATCACGATAAGGTGGCAGCCCAAGAAGAAGATTTTTGAGGAAACTAACAGACAACGCACAGTATTTCTGTCTTTGTTAAATAAATATTTTCTGTAACATTTGTGTGTGTCATTGATCATGCTGTGGCTGACATACTCTGTTTAACACCACTTGAGTGACACACTGTGTCTTTGCATATGCAAATAATAAAAACCAGGATGACCACTTCACGGAGTACTTTTATCCTTTATTCACGTTTCTGCCTTTGTCGAATAAATATTTCCACAACATTCCCTATCCTGTAGGGCAAGTTTTGTGACCTTTTGGTGTTTGACAGTGGTTAGTGTATTTGGTGCACCGAGTTTTGTCTGCTTTAGTTGGTGGCTGAGCCACATGAGCCTTTGACCCTGTGGGTCCAGGCACCCTTTTTGTTTATGGGAGTTGGTGGGTTTAGTAATTTCAGTCCCAATATTCAAATTATTGATAATTCTCCCATTTTTCCTTTCAGGTTATTTCTTCCATTAGATGTTATATTATTTTCTCTGAATAAACCATTCCTTATTTTTTTATCCTCCTGAGGTATGTATGTTCTTTCATTGCCTGTTTCTTTTATTTGCTGCATCCCCCAGCTCTTAGACAGCCAAGGGGAACGTAACATGGACCAAAAAAAATCCAACAGATCAATTTGTACCAATTATATGTTAGCAACCACTTCACTCACTTGTATCAATGAATCCATGGTTGTCAACATGCTTTTGTTTTGAAAAAGTGAAATGTCTCCTGAAAATGTCAAACCTGAATGAGTTGGTTCTCTGGTGTCAGCTGCACCAATCCCCTGCCAGTTGAGGCTCATGACCATCTTTCCTGAGTCCAACAGGAATTGGACAGTTTGCATCAGACTGTTGCTGTGAGAAGATTGAAAAGACAAAGCTTCATCCAGATTGGAGACACTTTCAGTCTCATTACTACAGAACAACATGTCTGTTAGTTTCCTCACTTGTGTTCCAGACTCTGATCTGTGTTTGTGACTTTTACTG